ATGAGACCAAAATGGAACTTTTTGGCCAAAATGCAAAACGCTATGTGTGGCGGAAAACTAACACTGCACATCACTCTGAACGCATCATCCCCAGAGCACACCCTTGGCTAGGCAAGGGTCTGCCCAAGACCCCACGTTAAGCAAACAAGAGCTTTTCCATCTCCCTAATTGTCTGAATGCACCTGCTATACACTGTGAAGACCCAGGGAGCAGCCTAGCATAGAGCTACGTTATGGTCCGACCCAAGAGGGAAGTAACCACAGCCCGAGCTAAATGGGAATACACTAAAGCCCACCAAGAACCAGGTTCCATGGGGGAACTGGGCATCCAGGTCTACAAGTTGAAAGTCACTGGGAACCGCTAAGAAACGTCAAGATTAGGATGGAGTCAGTCCCATAAGTGCTGGGGGACCAATACGAACTGCCTTGATTGCTGCCACCATACCTCCCATTGTAACTGTAACTGCAGACTTGACCACATCCAGCTGGGATTGCAGGAACTGCAGAGTGGTGTAAAATATGGCCTCGTGGGGGTCCAACTGGTGGACTGCACACCAGGAGGCAAACAGTCTTCAGTAGTAGGAGTAGGCAGCTCTAGTGGATGGTGCATGAAACTCCTGCAGAGTTTGCACCACTGGCTCAGGCAGCCCTAGGGCACAGAGCCTCTCTCTCTAAAGGGTCGTGCCATCTGCCTGATGGATGGTCCTGCTCTTATGAGACTGGAGGTCCTTTTGGACAGGAAGCACCCATGCGGTCCAGTTCAGGAGCGGTGGGATTGCTGAAAACCATGGCATGTGAGGCCAAGAGGAGCCACCAGGATCCACTTCCTCTCTTCGTTCTGGACCTTTTTTCTGATATTTTTCTGAGTACATAAACCACTGACCGCAGACAATACCCCAGTAAGGTCCCCAATGCCACAGCAAGGTTTCACTGAGCGTGTCATGACCCCTTGACCAATGTGCCAATAAGCCTGGATGCCCTCCCAATATTGTGGCCCAACTCTGTTCTCTGGGAACTAGCTACTGGCTAAATACAAGACAAGTTGTATTTATCAGGGGAGAAGCACAGTCTCCAGTCAACGGCTCCCCTGGAGCTAGGGCTAGAGAGGAGCTGCTAAGAGGCTAATCTGAAATAAGCCACAATCAGGGGGAGGTAGAGACACCTACCTAGGGCCTGCTCCCCCCTCACATGTGAGGCAGCCACTTTCCCAACTGCATATCAGAAAGTGGAGGGCCAGTGCACTTTCCCCCCAAAAACAAGAATGGGTTTCTCCAGTTTATGCAGGCAAGACAGAACAATCTATGAATGACTGAGGACTTTCTCTGGCCAGCATAGCATGCTTGCTTATCGCTTAAAGGCAGCACATAATAGCAGAAATAGCACTTAATGTCTAACTTCGCGGCACCATGAGGAATACACTGAGCTCTCTCTGCAGCCTGGAGACAAAACTCTCACTTGCTGGTCTGACAGTTTCAGACCTGAACCCGTGAGACCACAGGAAATACGCCAGAAGGATTACAGCAGGACACAGCGACACTGAGCGGACAACTCATTAGACTGCGATAAATAGACTAGAGATAACTTCAGTCCAGCACTTGACCAGTATGCATTGCCAATTTCCATTTTGAAAATGTTCCTTTTGATGGATCAGATTTTCTGTAGTAGTGCACAAATTCTCCTCTTAAGTTTGTTGTAATAAATCCCAACTTGCTTGGGAAGTGGTATATGCCTCTTCAGGTCTGGTTTTCTATGTCTATGTTTATTCATGAGACCCCTGGTCTTATTTCTCGATCGCTGTTTTTGAAAACTGTTTTCACACATGGATTATGGACACTTGGAGGAGAATCTGGACATGAACATTGTCTGAAGCCAAGTTTTGTCACTTGCTGCATATGCGTAACAGAGCATTCTATGCATTTAATGCATTCTCACTACTGCAAATGTTCTATTTGGTTTTAATAAAAGGTGGTGATTGCTCTATTTTCGCATTAGCTCATTCAGATATTATATGGACTCTATATATGGGAATTGATTAATTGTTGTCTAAGCCAACCAATTTGATTCTCATTCAAATGTTTAGAAAAGTTAAAGACTGTGGTACATGTGTGAAAATAGCTGAAAGGCTCCATGTAATACCCTAGAGGGAAATTTCATTTCAAATCATCAAATTTTTAGAACATTTTAATTCATTAATTCAAACAATGCCAGAGATTTCAGTGTGCAACAAAATGGCCTGAAAATGGCCATTTTTCAAAGAAAAAAAATATCTTGATAAGTATTTTGAAATATAAAGATAAAACCCCACCGCACTCATTATATATGTTATGTATGTGTCATAAATTTTTTTATGCAAATGAGAGACTATTTAGCAAAAGGCCTGTCTCTGTTTGAGATGGAATGACTTAATAGCAATATCTGTTTTATAAGAGCAAAAAGAAATCTATTAATGTTGTTCAGTCAGCATGTGTCTTTTACCAGGTCGTTGAAACCCGCTGTAAGAAAGTTTGCACTTCGAAGTCTGACCTTCGCTCCAGTGACTTCAGCATCGTGGGATCTTTACCTCGAGACTTTGAACTTTCTAACTTTGACTGTTATGGTAAACCAGTTGAAGTTACAGGGGCCCTCAAATCCCAAAACAAAGCCAACAAGAAACCACCACCACCTAAACCTGTCATACCGGCAGCTGCTAAGCGCATTGATCTTTATGCAAGAGCCCTTTTTCCCTTCTCTTTCCTCTTCTTCAATGTTGTCTACTGGTCAATCTATCTGTAAGAGGAAGAAGAAGAAAGTGATTTGTATCTTGGGTACAGAGCGGACAGTGCTGACATTAAAAGTACACTTTTCTTTGATAAATCATATAGTAAATTTATATATAGGTCATTCCATTAAAAAAAATCTGTTTAATCAGATAAAAGTTCCCACCTTACTCTGTCAGAAACAGCTTTCATGTACAATATTTTTAGTATTTTCAAGGAAGCAGTGAATAATATTACCTTCATCCTGTCAATATTTTCCAAGGTACATGGATGCTTGAAAGTTGAGTTGACACTCACCCATAGGGTGAGTGTCAACTCACCCTATGGGTTAGATATCGGGTTAAAGCAAGTTATATCATGGAAGGTCTCCTTTTTACCTACATTTTCAACCTGTTCACATCTGCTATACAGGTATACAACACAAAAACTGGTGGGTTGTTTGTTTGTTTGTTTGTTTTTTTAACAATGGATATGTGCCATAAAACAAGCTATTGCAGAAATCCACCATATGTGATGAAATTAGAAATGCCTGCAACTAGAACATGTTTCCAACCAACTAACAGTAATCTCTGAGCAGTCTTACTCGTTCAGCAGTGTTGATGCTCCAAGGAAACCATGCCTATCACAGCTTTATTCCAGTCGATCAAAACAGACTGGAAACTGTCAGTTTGTCTGGTGTCAAAAATACAACCATTATGAAGGCTGGATTTATTATTCCCAGAAGTTCCTACACAAGATTGCACGTCGTTGCTAACTAACAACTCTTTTTTTCTGTTTAGAGCCATGTTTGCAAAGCTGCAAAAACCAGTGTGGTTCCCGGGTATAACTGCAAATTTTCACAAATATAAAACTTAGCGTCCTATTGCTTGAGTTCCCTTAAAGCCTGTATATTAAGTAGGCACTGCATGTTTGTCTTTGTGTAATACAGGACATTGTGCTAGTTATAACCTAAATTATGCAGTTTAAAATATAACTGTATCCTGTGCATTAGAAATAAATGCTTTTTATTGAGGGTAACATTACTGGTCACACTTCATGCTAAATGTATAGTATTCTAGAGTGGCCAATGTGGATGAGAATCGAGAAAAAGAAGGTTCTCTACAAGAACCGGTTCCTAGTAGTCCAATTCCTTGGAATTGTTAGTCTGCCTGCCTGTCAATCCCGCTTATCAGTTCTGGCATGTATTCTACAATTAGCTGATTTCAGTTATGGAGGAGCAAATTGTAGGGCAGTTTCCAGCGTGGATACGAACATAATTTTTATTTTTATTGCAAAAAAAGGAAGTGCAAACTGCATCCAGGACAGAACAGGTTGTTGCTAATATAACAGCATGCAAATGCTAAGCTATCCAAGATCCCAGAGCGATGCTAAGCTGAGTGAATGCTGATCCCAGCCCATGGCTGAGCCATCACTTGTGAGCTGCCGTGAAGCCAGCTGCCACTGAACTTCATCCGGTAACAAACAGATGAGCAGTTAGGCTGCAGGCTTCGTTTCTACCTGTTTTTATTTATATATTTATATTTATTTATATATTTATATAGCCCAAAATCACAACAATCTGTTCATGTTTCTGAAGTAGAATCAACATGGAGATCACTTAAAAGTCTCTTTGTGCTTGTTTTCATTTTTTTTGTGCTGTAGGCTTTGTGTTCATACCTAAATACTAAGAGAAATATTATATGTGTCCTCATTAGGGCAGGGATTTGTGTTGATGTGTGGGACTGTAAATTCAGGTTTATATTGGCAAATGGTAATTATGAGACAATATGTTTTTGTTCATTTGACCGAGAAATGCAGTTATAATGTAACAAATAGTGTAACAAAGTACTTCCTCCTCCTTTTGAGTAATGACCCCTGATCGTAACAAAGAGTGGAAATACCTCCAACATCCACAAATATTTGACCCAGCGGATGTAATTAATTTGCATGAAAGTAATGTCTTTGACATGGTGCTTAGAGATGTTGGTGACTCTGAAAATGAGAATGGATACGGGAATCGAATCGATAAGTGATATCAATCATGAAATCCCATCCCTAGTGGCGAATAATAAATAAAATAAATTCCATGATGAAAATATAATCCAAAGAGAATAAAAAATGTAAAAATATTCTTCTGCAATTTCCCTGTTGTTTCAAGTTTGACAGTAGAAGCATGATTAAATTTATTTATATTATAACAGTCTTAATTTAGACATTTTATTGGCACCATATTGAAAAAAAAGAAACATTTTAATGTTTTTAATTAGATGCCGTGTTTTCATATTAAGGTAAAAAAAATCCAAGTCATATTAGATTCACGGCCTTTTTTTCATCACTACGTCAGCGCAACAGAGCCAGACTGGAAGGCTGACACTTGTTACTAAGACTAATCTTTTTAGTGGTTGTGATTGTGGAAGTCCTGTGATCCTTGTGCTTTTAGATCTTACTGCAGCGTTTGATACTCTTGACCACAATATTCTTACCTCTCGTTTGGAACACCTGGTTGGCATCAAAGGTGCAGCACTGGATTGGCTTCGTTCATATTTGAGTGGCAGAACGTTTAGTGTTAAAGTTGAAAATTTGGAGTCCACCTCAGCCCCCCTTCCTTGTAGAGTGCCTCAGGGCTCAATCCTTGGCCCTCTTCTTTTTTCATTATACCTGGTCCCTTTGGGGTCTATTTTTAGAAAACACAAAATATCCTTTCACTGCTAGGCAGGCAACAGCCAAATTTATTTGCCTTTAGCACCAAATGGCCCAGGCTCCATCCAAATCCTTTTGAACGGCCTTGAAGATGTCAAAGCTTGGATGGCTCTGAACTTTTTGAATTGCAATGAGAGTAAAACGGAGGTGATTGTATTTAGACCTAATAATATTTCATGCAACCCGCTTAGAAATTGTGGTTGGCTAGGGTCTTATATCAAACAGCATGTGACAAATTTGGGAGTCATTATGGACTCAGATTTTAAATTGAACAAACATATTAGTTCTGTGTTGCAACAAAGCTTTTTCCAGTTGAGGCAAATAGCAAAGCTGAAGCCAGTTTTGTCAAAATGTGACATGGAGAAGGTAATACATGCCTTTATTTCAACATGGCTTGACTACTGTAATGCACTTTATGTTGGAGTCAGCCAAGGGTCTCTTGCACGTCTTCAGCTCATTCAAAATGCTGCTGCCCGCCTCTTGACTGGTACCCACAGGCATGAACATGTAATACCTATCCTGTCCTCTCTTCATTGACTTCCTGTTCATGACAGATTACTTTCAAAGTCCTAACGCTGGTTTATAAATGCCTTAATGGTCTTGCTCCCCCATACCTTTCCAAGTTGCTTCAGCCTTATATTCCTTCGCAGACCCTTAGATCAGCTGACCAGCTGCTGTTGGTTGTCCCAAAATCTAGGCTAAAACATAGAGGAAAACGAGCCTTTTCAATTATGGTCCCCAAGCTTTGGAATACGCTCCCTTTAAATATTAGACAGGCATCTTCGTTTCCTGTTTTTAAGTTGCTTTTGAAAACACACCTTTTTTCGATATTATGTGTATTAATATGTTTTTATGTGAGTGTCAGTGGTTTTATCTTGTGTTTTACCCTTTTGTTTCTGTTCAGCACTTTGGGCAAACCTTTCGTTTTTAAATGTGCTATATAAACAAATTGGATTTGGATTAAAATACACTGCTCAAAAGAACACGTTTTAATCAGAGTATAGCATCAAGCCACTTAAACTTCTGGGAAATGGATCTGGTCATTTAAATAGCAGCAAGGGTTTTTAATCACTATCATCTGCTTTGGTATTTATGAAAGTGAACCTGTTACCTAAAATTCCATTACCTCACATAAAATTTAACTTGGTACTGGGTACAGGGGGTAATCTACTAGTCGGACGATTGGTGTTTCGATTCCTGGCTGCACCATGTGTATGCCAAAGTGAGGAAGAAGAAACACTTCTATCATGGGAAGCTCCCAGCAGCCCAGGGCTATTGCAGTAAAACTAAGTGAGGATCAGAGTCACCTGATTCAGCCTTAACTATATGCTATATGGTAGAGAGGGTGTCTTTCTCCCAAATCCGAACTGGAAGCTGGTTCCACAGAAAAGGGGCCTGGAAAGTGAAAGGCACTGTCTCCCATTTTACTACCCTAGTAGTCAAAGGTAAACTAGCAGTCTGAAAACAAATGCTCTATTGTGGAGCCTGGGTCCTCAAGACCTTGTATGTGAGGAGCAGGATTTTGAATTCAATTTGGGATTTAACAGGAAGCCAATGAAGAGAAGCCAATGTAGTCCCTGTCAGGACTCTTGCTGCAGCACTTTGGATTAACTGAAGGCTTTTCAGGGAGTTTTCAGGACATCCTGATAATAATGAATTACAGTAGTCCAGCCTAGAAGTAATAAATGCATGAGCTAGCTTTTGAGCGTGACTCTAAGACAGAATCTTTCTAATTTCAGAGAGATTGCCCAATTCGAAGAAAGCAGTCCTACAAATGTTTTTAATATGTGCATTGAAGGACATATCCTGGTCAAAAACGACTCCAGTATTCCTCACAGTGTTAATGGTAGGGCCACCACTAGTGCCCTGTAATTTAATGCCATCCATAGCAAGAATCTGGTTAGATACCATATTTCTAACATTCTTTTAGGCCACAGTAGAGTAAAAGAAAATTAGAGGTCATCCAGGTCTTTACTTTTATAAGAAATTCCTGCAATCTAATTGGTGTGTGCTATCTAACGTACTACTACGGATACTGCCAAAGGCAAGCATGGATAATGTAAACAGAATTGGTGTTAGTACACAAAGTGTGGCATCCATAACTAACGACTCTCCATTTACATAAACAAATTGGAGTCTGTTAGATAGATATGATTCAAATCCCTGCAGTACAGAACTTTTAATATCTTTAGCATGCTCTAATTGCTGTAATAAAATATTATGGTGAACAGTATCAAACGCTGCACTGAGGTCTAGCAGGACAAGCACAGAGATGAGTCCACTGTCAGAGGCCATAAGAAGATCATTTGTAACCTTCACTAAAGCTGTTTCTGTGCTGTGATGAGCTCTGAAACCTGACTGAAACTCTTCAAATAAGCCATTCCTCTGCAGATGATCTGTTAAATGTTTTACAACTACTCTTTGAAGAATCTCATTAGGAACTGTCAGGAATGACAAGCATGTGGGGCCTATATTGACTACTGAGTACCATGTTGAGTGGAAGGAACTAAATTCTGTCAAAATGAACTAGCCAGCACCATCATTTTTTTACTTCGATTTTCAGGGTGCGTTTGAATCCATATTTAGATCTGATGCATTTTCAAAGTGGTGCTTTAATTTTTTGCGCAGTGTAACTATTAACTATTTGTTCTAGTGTGATCTTTTTGATACCTACATCTCACTAGAGACTTGACATTTAGGCTTATTGTCCCGTGTGCAATCCTATTACAAAACAAGGAACAATTGCTGCTGCTGAATATTTCTCTGTTATTTTTAATACACACATACATATATTGTGTTCTTTTTTTTCTTAATTTGAAAAACCGTATGCAAAATGCAAGGAGTTAATGTTACATAGCATAACATTACAGAAAAACTACTCCAAAGTTTAATTTAACAATTATTAGTTCTTATGACACCTTGCTTTTTATGAATAACTTCATGCTATCTGTACTTTGTAACATAAAGTGTAATCAGCTCAGTCAGTAACATTCCAGTATGTAAAGATATAATCATACAAAAGGAAGAAACTCTTCACTTAAAATGCCAAATAGAAAACTGTGGAGATGTGATTTAAATGAATGGGCAAGAACAGGAAAAGAATCAGAAATATTTCCATGTGGCTCTGACTCTGAATCAAATACATATATAGTAGACTGATGGCATTATGCAATATGTCAAATTTCACTAAAGATCGATGATATATCTTTTTGCTGGAGTGTTCTAACTAACTGCTAGAGTACTTTGACGTTAGATTGCACAGTTTTAAGTACCAGCTAAGCTTGACTGCCAGTTGCTAAATTGTTTGCTATGCCCTTTCTTAAAATATATATTGCCATGATATATATTTCAGAAGTACTGTCTTCCCAGCACTGCAAAGAACTTGAATCATTTTTGTGGAAGTGAATAAAATTTTCTTTTCCCCAAGAAGAGATGTGCTGTATTTGTTTTTTGCTTGTTTTTTGTTTGTTTGTTTTATTTATTTTTAAACACAAACAAAATAAACACAACATGAAGCAGTTCACATTCTCAAAGAAAATGTACCCATGGTAACAATGGCAATAAATTCAAGAAGACAGCAAAACCATTTAGGTCCCCTAAGCCTTTTCAGCATCTTTTGTTTGTCCTTCAGTATTTTTAGTATAAGATCTGAAATTGAGCTCTCTTTACCTTATTTCTCTTTAATCTGTAGCATTTGGACTTTAGAGTGTTTTTGGCATTAGAAAACTGAGGTTAAGTAATATTTTTATTCTTAAAACAAAGCCAAATCCAAAACACTTCAGGCAGTGTGTAAAATGTAAACTACAGAATGCAGTTTAAACTGAGGAACTGGTCCATTTTAAGAAAAAATAGAGCTGCTAATCAGTCCTGGGTCTTCTTTGTCATGTTCTTTGGCTCATGATGGGCCAGATGTTTTCAGTTGCCAACAGGTCTGGTAGTAGGCAAACCAGTCCAACAACTTTTCTAATATGAAACCTTAGTGTTTTAGTGGATGCAGTATAGCGTTTAGCATTATCTTGCTGAATATCATGTATATGAATTATACATCTGAAAAAGGTGTAATCTGGATGGGCGCATATGTTATTCTAAAACTGTATATGGATTTTAGGATTGGTGGAGCCACCTACTCCCTTCTCTCAAAATAGATTACAATGTCATCTGCAAACACTATAATCCTATATTATATCCTATATTCATGCCCAACCACATCTGTCAGGCTTTCCATCAGCAGTGCAAACATAAAGGAGCTCAGAGCAGATCACTGATGTTGTCCCACCCCCACATTGAACCCATCTGTAATTTCTCCCTCACACCTAAACACTGACTTTTTCTTTTCTTGGTACCCTAATATGTGCTTTCTCTAGACCCACAAAAATACAGTGAAGCTCCTTCTGACCTTCTCTATACTTCTGCATCAACACTTTAACAGCAAACATTGCATCTGATCAGTGAGGAGCAATATAATGCCTACTGCAGCTCACTGATCATAACCTTTCTTCTTAACCCAGCTTTAACAGCTAGGTTTAACAGTGTGCTTCTTCTCCATTCTACATCCCAAATGTGTTCTGTTGGTCTGAGGTCAGGACTTCGTGCCAGTCAAATTCATTCACACCAAATCTGCTCATCCATGTCTTTATGGACCTTGCAGGTCCATGTTTGAACAGGAAGGGGCTATCTTCAAACATTTTCTGCAAAGTTGGGAGAATGAAGTTGTCCAAAATGTCTTGGTTAGAGATACTGGCCTAAATTACTGGATTGGATGTCGGAGAGAAATAAAAAATGTAATCTGATCCATTAAATGTCACGAAAGCACCTCACAAAACTTGTGACATGGCGTAACTCGGCTCATAACCTTAGCACGTCGGAGCAGTATGGATCACGTGATAGAGCGGCTGTGGCGTGTGAGACCTGTCAGCGGTCTGGTTGAGCATTTGGAGCCTCGCTACCAACCCGGCATTTCATCTCCGACAAAGTGATCCCAGAGAGAAGTAAAGCAAGTGTGTAAGTTCATCTCTGAATGTTTGTAAAGCATTCCCACGTCAAGCTTAACAACCGATATATGGAACGACTGCTTCTTCTCTCTCCCTCCCTCTCCTGCTGCTACTTCAATCATGAAACTGTTAATGATCAGCTGATCGGCTTTTCTGTCGCGACTCCGTCTCTCTTGTTTGTTTATCTGCCCACTTTGCACCAGAAAGAGGAAACCAGCAGATAGAACAACAGCAGCATTTTAAGCCTTGACTATGAACAGCATTTTGTCCCATGAGAATGTATGGTCTAACATATTTACAGGGAGTGCAGAATTATTAGGCAAATGAGTATTTTGTCCACATCATACCTCTTCATGCATGTTGTCTTACTCCAAGCTGTATAGGCTCGAAAGCCTACTACCAATTAAGCATATTAGGTGATGTGCATCTCTGTAATGAGAAGGGGTGTGGTCTAATGACATCAACACCCTATATCAGGTGTGCATAATTATTAGGCAACGTCCTTTCCTTTGGCAAAATGGGTCAAAAGAAGGACTTGACAGGCTCAGAAAAGTCAAAAATAGTGAGATATCTTGCAGAGGGATGCAGCAGTCTCAAAATTGCAAAGCTTCTGAAGCGTGATCATCGAACAATCAAGCGTTTCATTCAAAATAGTCAACAGGGTCGCAAGAAGCGTGTGGAAAAACCAAGGCGCAAAATAACTGCCCATGAACTGAGAAAAGTCAAGCGTGCAGCTGCCAAGATGCCACTTGCCACCAGTTTGGCCATATTTCAGAGCTGCAACATCACTGGAGTGCCCAAAAGCACAAGGTGTGCAATACTCAGAGACATGGCCAAGGTAAGAAAGGCTGAAAGACGACCACCACT